TCTATCATACATAAATCGTGCGTAATTGAGCGTGAAAAAGATAACTGTGGTTTGATGGATAAGCCTGTTGTTAAACAGATTTAGATCTAGTTAGTAGAATGACATTTTGGCATATGGAAATTTTGACTTCTACCTTCAAAAACATTCACAGTTTGTATCTAATGGTAAAAAATCTAGCTTCGCGAATGACCAGTATTATCATTACTGTCAAAAAATGGAATATAAAACAGTACAAACGGTTACGTTTATAATTTTCTCATCACTATTCCGCCTTAGATGTATTGTTTACAAATCTGCATTGAAATTAGTTTATTTATGTATAACTTCATATTGGAAGTAAGTGTGAACATTATTGCTTGAATAATACAAGTAGATCTACCAAATGGGAGGACTGTAGAAATTGGCCCATCAAGAAAATAAACTTTGAAATGAAAACAGTGATGAATAAAACACGTGTTTGACGATCTAATCATCTGAGTCACGGGGATGCTTTAACATATATACAGTATATAAACAAACCAAATAAAACGCTCAGAGGACCGAAAGAGGTGAATGAGGTAGAGTGTAATAACAAGACAACAAGTGCACATTTGTGAAGCTCAATTCTAATCTGTTATCCGGTTTTCCCGGAGAGACTTGGAAATCCACGGTCGGCAGCGCATAGATGATTGATTTCTTCTACATTGCTCGTCTGATTCAGCCGAGTGAATGTTCCTCCAGTTGACGAGGAAAACCATTTCCTTGAATTTCACATAAAAAAGCCAGATTTACTAAAGTGACTGCGATAACGGGCGGCCTCGCAGATGTCAAACAACTGTGGTTAAGATGTTCAGAAATGATGTATCACTTTTCCAACTACCCAGTACAAGCATGCAATTCCATTTCCGCGAGACAGAAAAAAAAAACATAGGATGTTTTTATCAACACTATTGTAAAATGAATTTCGTATGATTCATACTTGATATTTTCGTGTTAAACGTTACAAAGATATGATAATACAGTGGTGTTTTCGTCATGATGAGATGACCAGCTTAAAGCCGGCCATGATGATGTATCGGTAGATGGTCATCGGCTAGATGTGCCTTAAGACGAGTTTGGCAGATTTGTTTATCCTTAAGCTGCTCATGTACATTAAAGTTTTATCAAAGAAGTGTATAACAACACATAAACCTTTTTTCACTGAACATCGATAACATGCCAGTTGTTTTGTAACAACCGACAGCAAAGATCCGAACACTTGAAATTTCTATTCGTGAAACTGACGATATCAAAATTCATCACTCTCTGAGGAAAAGATTTTATCGACATAAACAAACTGATGAAATCAGTTAAAACTGTTTATTGTCATCTATTTATAATGAAACAGGCACTAAATACACCTAGTAGCAGTTTTAGATTAAGGAAATGTTTATAAACAGTTTCCAATTTTAGACCTAAAACACACCAAGAAATAAATCCGGAATTACAAGGGGTTTTTCTTTCTACCAGTATTCATTTCAGTCTCATGCAAGTTAAGCATTACATACCGATTGTGCATTTCAATGCAACTTGTACGAGAAAATATCATATCATTTTAATTATTAACACCTATTGTTTTCATGACGTGAAAAAGACAATTTCTATAAAATATAACGTCTTCGAGTAGATGATTTCCTGGAATTTGTTTCAAGTATATATGGACAGCTTTACCTTTGTGTAATATACTTGTACGACATGACTGAAATGCACATGATATGTTTGACTGCATTAAAATCAACAATTACTGCGTTAAATATAGTTTATACAGATGGCCGTGTGCAGCGACCGAAAATTATATAATTATAACTATGAATGCTCATTAATAGATCTTAAATGGACCATTGACAAGTTTTCTACAACAGACGACGTCCGTGATTTTATCCGCCCACCAGCTCGAAACGAATACTAGTTACAAGGCGCGAGCGTGGAATCAAATTGCAAAGTAGCCGGCGTGACGAGACAGAAAGGTCGCTAGAACTGACCTGTGGGCAGCCTGGCTCGCACTTGCACCGTCAGTTCTCATTCTAAGGCATCAATTATGACCGCGCGTGTGGACATTCAGCTCGACCAACATCTGCTGTGATACGAAACGGTGGCGACGAAAACTACAGTCATCACGTCGCAACTAATAAACGTTCCGAATTTATGGCCGAGATTCGTAATATCGAAGTGAAACTGACAATCACCAATGTGTGTGTATAAAATTATCGTCAACCCGGAAGTGTGGACATCCTATCATCAAGAACGTTTTTGTTGCACTATAGATAGTATTCAGTGTATCGGGTTCCATGCATGTGTTCGACAGCGTTTAACATTCCGGTATAGATTTTGATCATATTGTTTACATAATGTATCAAGAGATGCTGAGATAAGACGTCTGTTTAAAAACAAACCAAAAACCAACCAACCAACCAACCAGCCAACAAACAAACAATTATATGTCTGTCGCGACATATCAAACCCATCAACTTCAGTGACTTCAAATATTCACATCCGCCTATATTTTCAATGCTCCATTCTGCCTTTTCTTGACATATCAAAAAGTCTTTCTATGTACAAATGTCCAACATTTTAACGGTGCCAATTATAAGGTGCTCGTAAAATAAGGCAAGATTGCTCGATTTTAGAGAGTGATGCACCACATGAAATACCATATTCTTATATACTTAGCCAGAGTGTGTGGTTTGGTCCTTACTAAGGTGACTAGTATTTCTCAGGAATCTGAGATGATCCCGTAATGCCCTGCGCTATTAGAAATGTTTTTGGGTCGTTCGACTATTTGATTTTCAAATGTACTGATTTTGATAGCATGCAGTGTGCCTTCCACATTTTGCTCTACCGATATAGTCACCATCCACGATAAGGAGACCTCAAAACACTCCAATAAAAAAGTCTGTATGATTAGAGACATCAGATTGAGACGCACTTGTATTCAGGCATTACCTGTCAATAAAGCGGAAGTATAAAAAAAAGTATAGGCCGCTTATAACATTGCAAATATTGACTATCAGCTCAAAACCGTAACAAACGCTTCTTTGGTACGTTAATGATGTTATAAGCGATCCTTACTTTTCAACATTACGTGTGAAAAAGTCCCAAATGAGAGTGCTTATATAGGCTTAAGATCTCCTTCAGAAAGTTCTACAGCTGAAGATAGTACACAGTTCGTCATACACGCGAACACGAGACTTACACAAGTATTTATTCTGTCGAGTCCAAGTATATTGAATGCATGTCATAAGCAAATATATCGTGACGTGAAGTTTAAGATTTGCAAACAAAACCTATTTTTCATTTATGTTTCCTCTGTTGCTGGATACGGTCATTCGGTATAGGTTATCCAAACATCACCAGTACTAGGTCTGTATACAGATAACAGGAACTTGCAGGAAAAGAAATTTATCAATTTTTCTTTTACTCCACAAATCCATTTCTGGTGGATTTTCCCGGTTTGAATTTTAAGAAATCTGGCACGGTATTTAGAGAAATTTGATTGACGAGACTGACTGTAAAGAAGAAGTTTGATAGAAAGTTATTTGAAAAAAAAAACAAGGTAACATGTAAATTATCAAACACGTGACATATTGTAGATACGTGTATTACATAAATACGGGTTGTAAATACTTGTAATCGGTCTATCCATCAAGAGCACTTGAATAAATCATAATTATGTTTGTTATGACCGGAAAATCAATTAAATAAACACGTTTCTGTATATTATATATTTGAATGGAATGTGCACGCGTGAAGACCTGTAATCTGTGTGCGGTGTCGATTACAAGCTGATATCTGATCGGATACAAAAGTATATTAAAACTTAATCGAAATCTGATGTTGACCTTGGGATACCAGCTGCAAAAACGCAGTCCCAAATATGTCCAATTCGTGTTGTCGGTGACTTACTAGCGTTTGTTCGGAAACACAGAGGCGGAAAAGTGTTTTCCAGTTAAAATTCCATCTTGGTACGATGTTATATGTCTAGTGTACTTTGCATGCACTTTATCAACATTCCGTGTTTATTACAGTAGCTATTTAAATAAACTGCCACACAGTGTCGGACAAATGCAGTGGCAGAGGTTGTCGTTTTGCTGAAATTCTTGTTGGAAATTTGCTAACCATGTTCCGAGATATTAGAAATAAAATCCAAACGATACAAAGAAATCGTTAATTCACAATTACGACTTGTTCTGAAGGACCATATTTGTTTTATTCCAAAATAAATTAGGTATAGGCACGCTGGAAAGAAATGAAAGGTTTATTTTTGTTCCTCCCAAAAGAATTAATTCTGAGGCTTTGAGGACATGTTACTCATAAACTGATTAAAAATAATCAACATTATCTTAAATCATTTGGTTTTCAGTTCCGATAAGAACATATTTGAATATCAGAATAAATAAAATGCATTATGGCATTTTGTCATAGAAATAGGCTATATTGTTTTATCTCATGATGCTATCTCAAATATGATAGGGCGAGAGGGTGAAATTAAAACGGAAGTAAAATTATGCTCATAATGTTCCGACTTAAGTCACGAAATATTTATACAAGAACCATCAACAACAAGCAGCTTTTCTTATGTAGCATTTACATAATTTAAAAATCATACACAAATCAATTGATTTAAACTCAAGGACCGGGATAATTTTGCTACCTCAGTTAGCAGTTTACGACCAAGTCTGAAGATATTGTCAGTCAAAATTCATGGGATGTGAAGAGCTTTTCAGTATTTTGTAAATATTTTGGAGAAAAACCCGGCAGATTGGCAATATGTCATTCGTCAAACTGCATGTCGATTACATAAGCCTTCAGAAGACTTGTATATCGAAATGGATGTAGATTTAATTACTAATGGGTTTAAGTAGATATCCTATGTTTAAAAAGTGGCCACCAGGTAGCGCTCTGAAATCGTTGAATTGATCTAGAGTAAACAGAAGATCAACTTGTCAGCTGAAAGACTTGTTCCAAATCCCCATCTCACTTACCTTTTTCCTACATATTTTCCAAACAAGCGTTTTAGTGATTATGATGCAGACCCCCTGGCGGCCATTACTCCACCCAATGGACGTGATCGTTTCCGGTTTTCATCACTTAAACTCCTCCAAACCTCTTTCTGTCAGCTTCCATGATACTAAGTCCCCTAAAATTGAACATACGTATACAAGTTATCGTAATTTTACTAAATACAGGTCGAGAGGGCATTAACTTCTGCAACCTGCTCTGTGTTAATTTCACTAAAGGTTAGCACAGATGTCATGCACGTTTGTAAACAAATCTGTTTATCGCCCCATATCAGTACATAACGTCATTATAGACTAAAAATAGGCAATAAATTCTTATCGAATCTAACATGATCTTTATAATACAATCCATGAGGTCTCAGAGAGAGTTATCTCCTACAGAAGGTTTCTTTTCTGTACTAAAGACAAGTGTGTAAAAATCAATGACTCCAACCAAAATCACTGCGTTGGAGTAGGAAATGACTTTTCTGGATTATCAAGGGAATTACAATTTGAAGAAGACTGGGTAGGAAAGCAAATTTTATGGACTAACGACGACCGGAATGCACCTAAAGCCATTCGTACTTGATGTCCTGAAAACCGAAAAGTTCTTCAAAACAGAACTATTCTGAAACGATCGGGCCAAAGTATGAATGTCTTTTTCAGATGAAGGACATTACTTATTATAAAAAAAATATGTTTTAATTTATTATCAATTAAAATCGTGACATGAAAAATAGCCCCCAAAATTGTAATAATAAATTAAATGGCTTTGAAATCATATATTGATATCTTTTATAGGTGGTTATCAGTATGTTACTGATATTAATATTTTATTATTAATAATAAGCTTAGCAACAGTATAATTATTGATAATATTGAAATTAGTTTGTTATTCAAATACATTTCAAGTACGATACTTACAATGTATAACATACTCGGATAGTTCAAACTAGTACAGGACTATATAGTGTAAGTTGTATGCTAAAGTATAATTCAGGTAAGACTCATTCATAAGAAATGAACAAATCAGGTGTCGATTTCCTCATTACTTGTATCCATTCACGTGCATTACACCGTCCTCAGACAACACCCCCATCAATTACTACAAAATTAATATGACGATTTGTTATTTTAGACGTTTGCGGGAGGTCTATGATTCTTACCAAGCTATTCTAATACTTGCACATGTATGGTTTCGGCGCTATCAAATGAACCCTTACTGACTCCCCACGTTACAAAGACCAGCTAATGATTTCATACATGTAATAGTCGGCTTAGGTTCGTTACGAAAGACATGATCGTAACTTCTAAATTTAACTCACGAGACAACATTTCTTTTGTATGACACTTAACTGTGCTGATTAGTTACAAAAAATGAATATCACCTGGTCAATGGATTCAATGATGTTCACTTCGGTACGAATGCGTTCTGCTCATAGTCATTCTATCCCTTTTAACCATATCAAAAAACTGTGTAGTGTCGTAGGAGTTACCTCCCTTGAAAAAAATCGTTGGAATTTTGCTGTTTCGCTTGCTGTACACAACCAACAAGAAATCCTTCTGAAATACATTCTCATATACCAACATTTTAAATGATTATGTGTTGAAACTCAATTTAGATATTTAGGATTTCTTGTTTCTATAACTTCAACTGACTCATACTTTTTTTATATTTGTTAAGTTTGTATGTTTTACTGTGAATTTCTTCGATAATTAATTCTGAATTTCAAAATTTCAAAATTTCGATAATTGAATTTCTATTTTTTTAATTACAGTATCCCGATTTCATCTGTCTGCACAAATCTCCGGCCAGAACAAACAAATGGGTAATTTCAAACGTGATCACAAAGCAAAGTCGTGTTAGTACGTGTCATCAAATGCATAAGTGCGATAAGTTATATTCTTCTAATACAACATGGTCTACTATGTTTGTTGATGTATGTGACAAGAGTTGACCTCACCATGTCACGTAAATCTTGCTCAACGTCACTTGACGCTTGTATACGACCAATTCACAGTCAGCCATAGGCTTGACTGGACCGATATCTATTATATTGTAAGGAACGAATCAGTGATAAAGTCGTCTACGGCGGATAATGATAGTTTACCTGATTGATCAATTTGGTTGAGGAATGCTAATTTTGCTATCGTAAACTTACATACATCAAATCTCGTGGAGTACCGAGAATAGAAAAGTTCGTGTTTTTAGTGACGTAAATCACACACTCTTACAATGAAACCGAGACGTTATTTGACCGCTATAGTTTTCCAACCCGAGCAAATGACAAGAGAAGTATTTTACTTTAATTTCACCAATAAAATTTATGAAATAAGAATTTGTAATCCATTACGACACTTAAGATTTAGTCGACAGAATCTGAAAACACAAGTGATCCTTCTTTTCAAACAATGTCTAGACACAGCTCGTAAACTGTTCATCTGGATCCGATAGGTGCTTGATAAGATGGCATTCATCTTGTGACGTATTCTTAACCTTACTACACAATTGTGATTCATGTTACAAACCCCGGCGACACTTGACGACGTCACCAACACATTTCGAACAGCAAGGGCCCCAATTTCCACGATCAATTCAACAATGACCATGCGACCAGATTAAATACGTCATTAACATAATCATATAGGATGTAATGTTACCGATGACTTCGTCACGTGATTAAGTTGACTAGTTTCAAATCGATTACAGAGTATACCCGTTTTATAAGCGGATTTAGTTTCCCATCTTAGAAGCGACAAGGTCGTTTGTATTTGACTGCGTGGATAAGATCAAGTCTCGTTTCAGTTAGAAATGCTGCTTTACAAATTATTTTAGCATTGTAAGTAACAGGCTTAGTACAACTTATTTTACTTATGATGAACACATGATGATTTAAATATCGATTTTATGTCAGGCCCTTATGAAAATAATACAACATCGAGACCTTAGAAAAGTACAAATATACAAATGTATGCAGACATGATACTAAAATGTCACAGACGGAAATGTAACTCGTCTCTTTTGCGGGAAATGTTTCTGACAGTCCTAACGTCGGTCAAACACTGAACACGATAAGACAATTTATGCAAATATCATTGAATTATGGTTTGACCCTATGGAACTACCGTGTACAATGGGCATTTGAGTATATAAACTACCATGGTTTTAGGGGACAAGAGTGCGGCCATTTTATACTGATAGTCCGCTCCGAGATATAAATGATTTGATAATTTCTACAATCACCATGGACAGCCGAGTGTCCAATTCCTGTATCTGTCGTTTTCACTATCGGTCGTGCATTCCATGTGTCTAGTTATCAGGTTGGATACATACCCTTGGGGCCAGCATGATAATGCACGTGCGAAGTGTGTCATATCTGACATACGCCTTCCCAACAAAACACCAATCATCCCAAACGCTTGCAGGACCCTGATCATTGTTTCCCAATTTCGGAATTCTCCTGTCCTCGATAGTGATCACGTATACAATGTCAAGGTCAGATGCACAGAAGATGAGCGTGAGTTCATTGATGAATGGGTTTTCAGATTAAGGACAAAATGTATGAACGCAAGCATGCGTGCTGACGTGTAGGAATGTTGACCTCGTCATATTGTCATGAGAATCTTGTATTCAGGAAGCAAAAATATCAATGACACAGTTAGAGACATCGGGAATGTGAAGGTCACAAACTCTAGGGTAATTCACGTGTAATCACCAAGACCTCGAAAATATCATCGAATGATTTCAATCAGACATACTTCTCTAAAATAAGTAACAAAAAATACGGACGAAATCAACAAGAACAAAAATAGCCAGAGACAAGAGAACTGAGTGTATCTATAAAAGTAAACCGGGTAAATAGTATTCCCTGTACTATATAATTATGACACCCTTCTGGCGACTTCTGTAAACTCTAATATGGTATTATTGGAACATCAAAATGAACTAAGACACAGCCTATATACCATTTTGAAGACAATATGGAGTTATGATTAAAACATTTTCAAAAAGTCAGCGTGAATTGAAACTCCTCCAGAGGAGACCCTGTATGTCAATGATGTCAGTTATGTCATTTAAACTCCAAACTAAACCCTTAAGGCTACTGGAAGTGTAGCCTTGTATGATCAGCTGTCAGATCGGGTAACAATATAACATATAGGTGAAAATTGAGTTTGTTTAGCCGTTATTTTAACGAGTTAGACTTTTTGCAGCTATCATTTCTTCCGGTAGACTGTTCCAAATATCTACAACTCTGTTATTACATATGCTTTTTATGGTACTTAGCCTAGACCGTGGTTTCATTGTGTTTTTTCGAATGTCCTCTATAATAGATTCCACAGGAGTCACAGCGATCAATTTCCATTTCTTCACAACATCGATACTGTCATAATTCTGATGACTTGAACTGAAAAGCATGTCTACTGATAAAAATGTACATTCATTAAAGATACTGATACAAATAGCTTAAGTTTAGAAAACCAGTTTAGAAAAGGAATATTTTACAAATGTTATATTCAAAGTCATCACATTTTGTTTGCGAATAAAATGGTGGGATGCATAGTGTCGTCATGTTGGTAAAATTATTTTCAGAGGCGTAAGGCTTAGTCTAAGAAGTTAAAGCGACATAATTAAATAGTTACATTTTGGTTTTAACGGACTGATTAAAGTAATTTACTAACTAGTAACTCACCCAGCAAATAAACACATCTGCTCAATTATACCACAATTCCAGGGTCACAATAAGCAAAAACTCAACACTTGTGCATCAAAATCTGTCTGATTTAAAGAAAATACTTTCTCCTTTATATGCTCAATTTTTACATTGATACACAATTAGTCTAGATGACGTCCAGAATTTGACGGGTGAACGATGCACGTGTTAAGTACAATCATCTGTCGTGATGTATTTATTCGCATGCCCGGGAGGAATCTCGAGAGCAGTAATATCTATGTTTGACTGTTACTGTCTTGAGGTAGTGCATTAGCAGCTATTGTAATGAATCATATTTCTCTTCAATCACGCCAGTCAACATTGCTTTGACGTATGCCGTGTGTCGCGGCAGATATTG